ACTGTGTCATCCTCGACACATCATTCGTCATCCACCCGGGACCCACCAAAGCATCGCTCTTTCCAAAAATCGGGTCCGATGGGTTGTGCGCCACCAACAACGCCGTCGTGGCGAACGACGTTGCACATGAACAGGGACCAACTTGGTTTTGATGGATGCGGACGAGTAGGGTGTTGTACATGAACAGGACCAGCTCGAGGAGCTGCGGCTGAAGCCATCGTCGACCTCCTCGGCATCAAAGTGGGTGATTGGCAAGTGAGGGCGGCGATGGGGAAGTGGGTTCTGGTTTTGGTGGTGAAGGAAGGTTGGGGGAGACTGGTTTTGGAGATGAAAGAAGGGTAAAATATTTTAATGATTTTATTTTTATTTTTTTTATATTTAATTATTAAAAAAATATTTAATTATTTTTTAATTCAGTTGGGATAGGGAGTGGGTCTTACCTCAAGCCACGTCAGCATTTAAGAGAGAAATTAACAGAAAAACTGACGAAGATATGACATTATAATAAATTCGTAGATGAGATGAAATTGTAATATTTAAAAGATGAGGTATGAAATTGTGGTTTAAGCCATAGTTGAGGTAGTTTTGTGTAATTTACTCATTAAAATTTAAAATATAAACTCGTCATTCATGATAATTTAAATGAATCAATAACATTACCTGACGGATGCAACAGACACAAAAGTCTCGCTCGTCTCGTACCCACCAAAACCTCTAAGAGGCCTTGACGTGAGGGAAGCAATAAACCATTCATCCGTGGGGTTAAAAGATGCTGCACAAGAGATCGATGTGTAAAGCAGGGTCATCAATCTTCCATAATCAAGTTTAATAAAAGATTAAGCTTCATTGGACCACTCTAAGAAGCATAATTAAACGAGTTTCAACGAAAAGGAACCGAAAGCAAACAGAGAAACACAAATCAAACATAAGTTTAAATAGTTACTAAGCTGGAAAGCTCAAGTGTCCAACCAGCCATAAAGCAACAGTTTGGATGTTTATCATCATCCTACATAACATAAACGCACCACACAAGATAATTATGGTTGTTTTATTTAGCCTAAGTGCCCAACCATAAAAGCAACATGATAGAAACAAGATGATCACAACATCACATCATGATCAACCAACAGATAGGAGAACATCACCGGGGTTGCCATCTCCCCACCACTGATGGACAAACACACCACTGCTGCGGAGGCTTCCGAAGATGTCCATGCAGTCCACCGGCATTGCACCTCCAGCATCTTCTTGGCCTGAGCAGTGAAGAAACAGCTCGTCCACAAAGCATATGGCTCCACTTTCAAACAGTTCCGTGAGGAACTTCAGTTCTACACTGCCTGCATTCATCTTGAGCACCACGAAATCTGCAAACCCCACTGTTTCTTTGAACCAAACGAGGAAATCAAACCCTTCATCTCCGACATATGGATCTGCGTCTCCATCGATTGTAACATTGACTTTTGGCTTGATTCCGGCCAGCCCTGGATGATAAACAAAGGTAATTCCCGGCTTTTTGACATAGGATAACAGAACAGAAGTGTTATGGTCAACAAAATAAACATTGAAATCTTTGTGTTCAATGGGATAAGAAGGCAGGAACCAATTTGTAACATTTGAGTTCAGATGCTGTGCTGCCCCAATATCAATATAGACCAAACGCCTCTTTGAGGAAAGATCAACAAAATTAGGCAAATAGACGAACCTCTTTCCATACTCCACTGGTTTTTCCTTCACCAGAGGCTCCATTTTCCCAATGAGAGGTCGATTGTTTGTGAGGGATCGGCAGTCAGCTGGAAGGCGATACTGCTCAAAGAGACCAGCATTGTCATAATTTTTCTTGAACACAACCAGCGTGAAGTTATTGACGTAATTAACGTGCACAACACTGGAACTTTTCAGCAGTGAAGAAATTGGAGTAGCAGACCTAATCAAGCTATTCGGGGAGGAAACACTGCTACCCACAAGCATAGCCCCAATTCCACCAGGGCTAAGAACACGCTCGATCTCAAGCACTAGTAGCGCAGGGACAGAAACCTTATCGAGATCCCTGGAAAGCACAAAATCGAAAGACTTGTCCACATAGTCAATTTCGTACACAAACGGTTTGTGCTTGAGCGAGAAGAACCGGTGTTTGTAAACACCATGAGCATTGGGAAATCCCAAAGCTTGCAATGCCAGCACGGCTGAGGCGGAATCCTCTCCTACAGAGAGAGCTTTTGTACCGTATTTCAATAGCTTCTGACCCATGAGCTCTCTGACCACACTGACAGTCAAATTCACATCCCGCACGCACTGCTCCGAATCGTAAGACCCCCAGAAGGGGTTCAGGAACCGACTCTGGAAATTGAACTTCTCCGTGGTCAATTCGACAGGGACGACGCGGCCCAGTTCGGCGGCGCAGTCGCCAGAGTTCACAAAAGTGAACATTGTCATGTAGGTCCCAGACAAAATGTGGATCAATGGTATGATCGACATAGCCGCGGCAATCAAGAATGCCCAGAGAAACACGCGCCGGGCCAAAGACCCATGAAGGATCTGCATTCTCACGCCCTTCAAATCCATGATTTTCTTCGTTTCGACGATTCGGGCCTGAATCATATCGCGTTTAAGCAATTGGGTTCGTTGTTTCCGATCAACGCCGAGTTGTTTAATCAAAAAAGTTGCGAGCTTTGTAACTTTGTAAAATCAATTACAGATTTCGAGAGAGGGAAAGAGCCAAAGGGAGAAAGAGAGAGTAGATTAGCGAGTGCAAAACCTGGAGGAGGTGTGATTCCCACCCACGAGGAGCACTATCGATTTTTGAATTACTAGCAACACCCTATTCCAAATTTTCGCCGGCTTCGCTTCGAACCAGACGACCCGACCCATGTTTACGCTCCGATTGCGAATCTACATTACATGTCGGACGGGAGCGGCGCCAATTTTGATTCGTTTGGGGTGGATCCGCGGAACAGAAACCCTAATTTGAAAATTGGGGAAATCAAAATTGGGGATCAGGGATTTCTGAGAGCTTTTTCAGAATGAAGGGATTCAGCAGAGGGTGTGGACTGCGGATCTTGTTTTAGTATATAAAACACTCCTAGGCTCCTACTGCTAGTGTAGTGGCAGGGATTTGATTAGGCCACCGACGGTGTAGGTAACACGTGCCGACACCCGAAGCCTCTCAGCTCGAACTCAGTTTTACCGCGAGTCCCAAATGTAAAAAGCGCCAAGGGTTTGTAATTGTGGGGACGGCTAGTGACACAGTGACACTAGCACTGAATATTACGATTTAATGGAATTTATTTATTTATTTGTAAGTTAGATGTTTTAGGTTCAATTTATATTAAAGACAAATTTGAATTACATTATTATAGCAAGCTCATTGTGAGTTGAGTCCCTTAGTATAAATACTATCGTTTGTTTAGAACGAAAAATCAATCGTGGGTCTGTGTGGGACTCACAAGTAGATCGACAACTTGTTTTTTGTCGATTAGGGAGAACGAGGATCCTTTTCAGATCTTTTTTGTGAGGATCTGAGGATTCTTACATCGTGTCTATTTATCGTACATCGTGCTGTCATAACTTGTTTTAATTTTTTTTATTTAAAATTAAATATAAACTAGTACCTGACTAAAGCTGACCGTACATTATACGATAAACAGACACAGTGTGAAGATTTCTAAAATTCTCGTAAAAAAGATCCATAAAGGATCTTCACAATAAAATTTGGAGAGGATTCTCATTCGATTAGCGATGTAAGTAGTAGGCAAGGTATAGTTAAAAAAAGGATAACGGATGAGTTGGGCATTACTATGGATCTGACAAAGCGTGTGGTGGTCACCGATGGCACTGGTTGGGTTCATTCATGCATATGTGGTTTTGGTGATGTTTCAACAGCCGATGATGTGATCGAACGTTTGCTGTCACGCAGCTGGATCGATAGGTTCCGTTAGATGAAGATGATGAGATTCAGTCTGACTGGGTCCCGAGAGTAGTATGACAGCAGCCGGTCCTGTGATTATTTGTGTGATTTTGACGTGGAAGCTCTACAGTCTTTCTCCTTTCCCATTACATAAAAGTTGAGCTTTTACCACATCATTGGGCAAAGTGATTTATGCTTGGATGTGGTTTCTGACTTGTAATCAGATTTGAAATAAAATTGAATTGAGGAAGAACAAAAATAAGAATTAAGATGGGTATAGTTAATTAAGATTTTAAAAACTTTTAAAAAACTTTAGAATTAGCGTTTAGTTAGAATTTTAAAAGATTTTGAAATCTAGTATAGTCACATAAGATTTAACAGGTTTTAAAAGTGCATTCAGGTGTAATTGTATGAAAATTAGATTAACCAAAATCAACCAAATTAAGTTCAAATTTTAATGCTCGCAAGTGTACGAATCGTAGTATAATATAGTATGCAAGCACAAGATCGTTCCAACTACGATTGATATAATTCTATTACCTAACCTAATTAAATTGTACTTGAATTGAAGTTGAACGATTGATGATTGTGAATAAAAAGGAAATGAGTTTAAATTAGTGATGACGAAAAACAAAGAAAGCAAATTATAATTTGATTGCGAAAGACACTAGAGTATCCGACTCACTATAACCAATCCAACTTAATTTTAATTATTAATGAGTAATCATCCAACTTGACGTCTAGTTCCTCTAATTCATATAGTATCCATGACATCTAGATTACTACGTATACTTATATGTGCTAACAATCTATAGCTTCTAGATTAATAAATACATACAAATTTATATATACTAAAATCCAAACTCGGGTGGTACTGCTCATTAACAGTAAAATGATGAAAATGCCCTTCGGTTTTTCTTCCTCTCCGTTTTGATGGTGAGTTTCTGCTTCGACCGCATTTTTTCACTTGACCTTTCCACGTGTCAAACATCGACCCACCCTCTATACGGTTTTCCTTTTGCTTCTGTCTTGCATGCCCTCCAGCTGGATCTTTAGAATTTTCCTTCGGTTTCTATCAGCCATCCAATCCATCTGACTCACCATTACACCCCCACTAATTCACTCAACCCTCACTTCTCTCTACCCTACTCAGACTTCCCCAACTCCCAACACTGTCACTCTCTCTCATCCCTCACTACTCTTTACCTCTCCCATCTGTCCCCCCTCTGCAACTCTCCTTCTCCCTCTCAGCAAAACCGAGAACCACCACCGTAATCCCTTGTGCTTTTGCGCTGATTCCAGTTTTTTAGTGATTTCTAAGAAACGCAGTGTACGATACCTGTTCCGGCCTGATTTGAAGAAGATTTCTCAAGCGACTGTAATTTCATGGGAAGTTGGCTTAAAGCAGTTCCAAAATTTGGGATTGTTTGGGATATTTTTAGGTTTTTCTGATTCTTGAAAAAAACCATGGTTAAGAGTAAATTAATTATGTTTTAATTTTCATTTAATTCAGGTAACTGTCTTTAGTTTTTTGGTTTGAACGCCTAGAACCAGTGATCTTTGAAAAAGGTTGGTTCTTGAATATTTTTATTTATATCCTTTTGGTTGTTTGAATGGACTTCCTGTAATCTAAATGAAGCTAAATTGAATATTTGTTTTTGTATACTGTATTTGCTTTGTTAAATTAGTTCTTTTTGGTTGAAAATTTTTGTTTGGTTTTGCAGATCAAAGGGGTCAAGCAGTGGAGGAGTGGGTTAATAGTTATGTGTTCTGCTTGATAATTGTATGTGTTTATGCCCTCAAGAATTTGGGAGATATCATGGGATTGTTTGTGATCTGATTAAATACAAATGTTATTTTATACAAATGTTATTTGGGTAAATCTTGGTATAAGTGTTATACAAATGTTATTTTATAACAACTGTATGTAAGTCTATTCTACTTGAGATTCTAACATGAAAAACTCCACATAATAAGACTGCAGCAGCTGCAGCTCCACCATTATTTCTGAAAAATTAGGTAAAAAATCTCCTCTGCAATTTTTTATTTATTTATTTTTAACAATGAACCAATGAATGCACAAAAAAGTTTAGCATGCTCTGATTTTTGTCTTTTGATAGCACATATTTACTAAGTCAATTACCTGCTTTGCAACAGCTTCTTTCTTGCCTTCTTGATTGCCAGGTACGGATGCATGCATTATAATTATGTTTTTGTAGTTTAATTATCCTCTTTGAAATTTCTATCAAAATATTCATTTTTCCTGCGTTTTGAAGTTGAATAGTGTAGTTTTTGGAGTGAACATAATTTCATGTACAAGTCACTTGCTTTTCATTTTTCAGTTTCTGTTCTGTTAATGTCAGATGCTTCAAGAAGCACTTCTATGTTTTTTTAAGGGAGCATTTGGTCCTTGGTAGAAACTTCAAACATGTTTTAAGTAAAAACATTTCTAGCAAAAGCGCTTGAAAGTATAAGTGCTTCTTATAGAAGAGCTTTCAAACGACTAATAAGCCCTTTGTTTCATTGCAATTGAAGATTTGGTTTTGGATTTCAGGTCAAGATCTCTGAGTACATTGAGAATAAGTGTGTGATTCTCTTTTTTTTTACGCATTTGACGTCACATTTGTTTGTCCTATAGGTAAGCATGTTTTCGTAATCAGCATATCTGCGTTGTGCATGTTTTCGTAATCAGCATTTCTGCATTGTAACACATTTAGTCCATTCTTCTAACAGTTATACTTTGTGTAAATAGTTTTTACATATATAGGCACAAAGCTTATAACACATTTAGTCCATTATTCTAACAGTTATATACAATACTGATAATCTATTTCACATTCCCACGGCAACGTGCAAGTTATCTATATATACGAATTTAATAAGCAATGGCCATTATCTAAAATTTGGGACTGATCATAAAAAAGGTTGTTACTTTTTATAATAGGAACATAGAGGAACAAAAATCAACTTTCATTTTCCAACGACTGACTCCAACTTTGTTGTGTTGTTCTCAATTTTAATCTTCTATCTACTTGAATCTATTTTTTTAAGCCTAATTAGTTCATGCACTTATCGTTTAAATATGCTAAATCCTTTATATTTAAAATTTTGTGTGTTGAATATCAAGATAGAGAGACTTTTCTCCGAAACACCGTCTGTCCATTAACCACACATATGTTCAGTTATCTCATTGTTATCATCCATAGTTCAAACCACACATAATATAAAATTTGACATAAACTTTACATGTTTGGTTAATAATGCCTAATGTTTTCGTCAATGCAGGACCTGGTAAGCCAACAGTTTTCAACTGCGTAAGTCATTTTTCTAACTTTCCGTTAGTCCTTTTATTGTTCTGATCTTTAGCAAGAGGATCCTGTTAGTCCTTTTATTGTTCTGATCTTTAGCAAGAGGATCCTTTTAATAAATCCAACCGTCATTTGTTCACATTAACTTCTATTTTTCCAATTTCTAACATGATAAATGAAAACAGCTCCATATGAGAAGAAAGGAGGAACAAACTGAAGAAACAAACTCATTTGATTAAGGAAGTTCAACTCTACTCATTGTTTCTTATTTTAGATAGGGTTGTAATTGGATTTCCACACATACACAAGTAGTACGGCTTATCATGTATATTTAAAACTTGCGACATATTTTATACAGTTTTAAAACCCGCAGGATCGCGCAGGCACTCATGCTAGTTCATTACTATTTAGGAACTACTAAGAGACCACATGAAACCTAGTGTATGACATCTACATCAAGGAATTTATGGTACTATTTGTAAGACGCTAAAATCGAATCAACATGGCATTTGTGTTAACTCGGATCACATACACTCAATTCAACTCAAAAGTGGTGACCAATCATCAAGATTAAAATCAAGCACGTAAGCACAGTAAAGTGATACTCAAATTGAATGAAAATTCATTTATAATTAAACTGAGAAATTAAGAATTCATAGTTAGGCTACATTGTAACCCTAGCAAAAAGAAATTAGTTCCAAAACATAAATGAAATTTGCACATAATCCATTATCAAAATGAAAATAAACTGAGTTTAGAGTTTCAATGCATGTCCTACCGTTGTTTGTTCTTTTAATGCATAACCTACCATTTTTTCCTAGCTAAAGCAATTTTATGGGATGGGACGAGACGAGACAAGGACTAAAATTCAATGTTTCACTCCACTTGACTTTATGCTCTTTTGCATCTAGGAGACGATGCATTAACTAATAGGCGTATGAAAAGATTACAAGGATTGTGTTCAGGTAGGAATTTCGCTGGGAAGGGTCTCTGGCTCGAGCACACAGCTCCCCAAGGAGTTGGCATTTTGGTTTTTTTTTTTCAGGCTCCTGTTTGTCGGGATGCTACAAAAGGAGGACACGGTTAGTTCTGACAGGTACCTTTGTAGGGCCTTAGGTGTAGGCCTTGAGGCTCATAATCAAAACTAACTGAGTGCAGAGGCGTGCCACTGCCATCTCTATATGATAGATGTAGAACAAGTGTATTTAAGTCGATTACTTGCGTCCCAAGTTATTCTGACTTCTTGTTATCAAAGGATTGTCGTGGATGGGTTAAGTCCACATTAAGTTCTTTTCTATACCTTGAGACCAAGGATTTTTAGTTTGTTATGTTTTATGCTTAGAGGGTGAAGGTCCATATCTGATTAAGTCACCAGTTTGGTTCCCATTTAGCCTTTTTAATGATGGTAAACCACTAACTAAGCTAGATCTGAGCACTGATGGGACTTTGGATCGTCAAAAGACTAGAAACGACTTGAACATATATTGGGAAATACATTGTAACACCAGATTTATTGATTTAAAGGCAAAACAAAGAGAATTGGGTAAGCTTTCACCTTGTCGGGCAAGGTCTAAACGTCTTGTGGTCTCTTCTCCTTGTGGTTACAATGGATCGAGTACTAAAATGGGGCAAAAGATGAACAAATTTACATGAGAGAATCAATACTACAACATTTGGAAAAGGTAGTAGAGCTTTTACACTAGACAAAAAATGTCTTTCTAAGGGGAATCTATGGCTAAAAGGGTGCAGAGTCTAGACAAAGTACAGCTTTCTGGGTATTTGCTTGATTGAGAGGTAAGTTGTATATTTGCTTGTTTGATTGATTAAGTGTCCTTATCTCTGGGTCCTCTTCCTCTATTTATAGACGAATTAGCCCTACTGCCTGTAGCTTTATTCTTGCCCAAAAGCAATTGAAGGGTAGTGAGTCATCAATATTTTACTTGTATTGCCACTAAAAAGTACTTTTGGGCTGAGAGTAGGTTGATTTCCATCAGTTCTCACTTCTCTTGCAAGCACCTTGCCTTAGCATTAATGGGGAAGCACCAATTGGTCTTGACATGGACGGTTTGGGCTTGGTGCTAGGCTTTAAGTAAGCCTCATTTCTTTAATCTTTTTGGGCCCTTCTTCCTTTTGGCCCAAAGTTCAAATGTTAACCCAAACAGTGCCCCCTTTAATCATTGTTAAGTTGGCATCTCGAGACGCTAATAATGATTAAACCGACATGCATCTTCCTCGAAACTTTCATTAATTAAAACAATTAGTGCATTTCCAGACCCTTGTGCTAACCCACGAATCATATCTCTAAGTTGATTGTCCACTATAAATTTCCTACTCGACTACTTGGTTAAACACCTTAATAACTTTAAGCTTTGAATTTCCTAATTTTCTCAAAATTTTCAGAACCTTCATATTTTCCAGAAAATCCTCCTTAATTTTTACAACTCTTGATGGCACCTTGAGTTTGAACTCAGCCCTTTTGTGAGATTGGTGAGGAGATTTCCACCATTTGCCACTTGTTATATGGCCCTCACCGCCTATGTACTGAGTTTTTCTTTGATAAGGGGTGGGTGCTTTCTTTGGGACCTGCATGGATATTTCAGGCTTCAGTAGCTGCAAAAAGCGACATGCTTAAGGCTAATCCTAGCTTTTGCATTCTTGGTCACTTCATTATCATAGGTGTATGCTTTGGGATCAATATCAAAGTTTCTAGGAGGACCATCATCAGCCCAAGCCTCATTCTCAAGCGTCAAAGTATCCATCAGCTTTTCATTGATTCAAATGATGGGTTCAACCATGAGATCAGTAATGGGCCTCAACCTCAGTATCTGCCCCTAAATTTTCCATTCCACAGAGGCTTGAGTGCACACACATAGCTTTATGGGCCCTTTAAGCATGGATGCAGAGGGATTTTATTGCTTCAGATAAGCTAAGTAGAATCTTCATTTTTACGCCAGCACACCGTCTTAGGATAGTTGCTTCAGATGAGCTGAGTAGAATCTCCATGTAACTTCATCATTTAATGAAATGAAAATGTCGTTTTTCTGTACTTTAGCTTGTACTTAACTGTGATGAAGATGTTAATTGTCTTTAGATCTCTCAAATCATTTAAACCTCTTTGATGTAACAATCCCTAACATCCTATAAGGCTGGATGATAATTCTTTAGAAATTTAGCATTAACTAGATGTTTCTGTAAGTTTCCCTCTAAATCGGCCAAATAATGACGCCCTTATCTAGTGCTTGATGAATAATGAAAGGACCTTCCCAAGTCGGACTCCATTTCCCAAAGCCTCTTACTTGGACTCCCAAGGGCAAGATCGCCTTCCATACTAAGCCTCATTCCTCAAAAGTCTTCAAATTTACCATTTTGTTGTATGCTCGAGCAACAACTTTCTTTCCTTCTTGAATCTTGTCTAAGGCTTCAATTCTGGCTGCATCTAAATCTTCAATTCCTTGACACATAGCCTCAATGTATTCTTCACTGTGTAGCTCGAACTAGTTCTGAATTCTGACCGAACTCACGTTAATCCACATTGGAATCACGACATTTTGCCCGAAGGTTAGAACGTAAGGTGTAGTTGATAGGAGCATATTCATGCGACTTAAATGGCTTGTTCTCGTGCATTTACGTTATGTTTCTTTAGTTATTTTAGTACTTTAAGCTATTTTCGTGTGTTTGTAGGTCCAAAGGGCTAAAGGAGCAAAAAGATGCATTTTGGAGACTTTTGGAGCACTTTTGGGCTAAGGATGGATAGCCTATGCTTGGAGCCAAAGTGTTGGACGAAATTGAAGACCTAATTGAAGACCAAAGTGTTGGAACCTTGTTCCCTTTAGTTTTAGGACATTTAAACCTTTCCTATATCCTTAGCCGTGCATAACATTCCAACATTCCACTCCTTCATTTCAGCCACACTCCCACATATCATTACTTATCATCACCACTTATCACTTATCATAATCACATATCATACACTTATCATCACCACTTATCACTTATCATAATCACCCATAATCATTCACATAAATCAGCCACATGCATTCACTCTTCATAATTCAACCTAGCTGTTATGTTTCCCCTTTCATCATTCCCTCACATTCTTTAATTCAGCCAACACATGCTTACACATGCATTTTCAGCACCAAAGAATCATTGCACATGCATTTCCAACCCACATGCATCATTTAATCATTCAAACATGCAGCCACATTCACTTTACCTAGCTGTCATGTTCCCTCTCCCATCCATTTTCAGATTTCCACCAACCAATCTAGTTGTCATTACACATGCATTCCCTTCTTTAATCATTCCTAACTGCCATTCACATGTTCTCCCATCCATTCTCTCCCTATAAAACCATGCATTGCATTCATTCAATTCATCTCATTCTTCCATACACAATTCAGTCACAAACACCAACCATTCCCTTGTGCCATGCTCTCTCCCTAATAATCCAAACACCACACCAGAAATCATCCCATTGCCGTGGCCTCCTCCTTCCATTTTCACCACTCCCCAAATCATTCACACCATCAAACTATCCATTAGACCTTGTGCTACAACGAAGAGGAAGATAAGAGGGCCTAAACGTTCATACAATTCAAGTTTGAGTTGTTGGAATGTTTAGGTGTTTCTTTGATTTCAATGTTTAATTTCAATACTCTTTGTTTTGTACGAATGAGGAATGGAAGAGAAGAGGGTCTAAACGTTCATACAATTCAAGTTTGAGTTGTTGGAATGTTTAGGTGTTTCTTTGATTCTCTTTGTTTTGTATCATGAGGAACTAAACCCCCCCTTGGCTAGGGGGGATTCGAAATATATGTTTATGCTTGCGTTTTGATTTGATTACTTCTAATTGCATTTCATAAGTCGTGGATTCAATTTGTTTAACTGTTTGATTGATAACCTATTTATGTATGTTTATTGAGAGTGCACGCTTAATTTTCATGCATGAATATGACGCTAGAATATAAGTGAGTTTCACCTAATAGTTACGAACTTATATTCACAAGTAGTGGAGGTTGCTTATAAACAATCGCGTTAAACGAATTATTGGCATAAGTTTCATGCAATCATAGTAACGAATGTCTCGTCAACACTTATAATTTTCATAGAGCGTAATGATTCTTGCTTGTATCTCTATTATGCAATCATGTAGGGGACTTGTGGGAAATGTTTTGGGTTGTCGTATGCAATCATCCAATTCAATAACGTTAGGAAGATTTGAAGGTTAATTTAAGCGGACCTAATTAACCCGGGGTGATGAGTTTCATAATTTATTGAAATGCAATTGGAAATCTTTTTATTATGCAAGTGTAACATGTGTGGAGATGAACCCCTTGGCTAGCATCCATTCATTCCATTTCATCAATTTCATATTTACATTCTGTCTAGTTTATTAACTTGTTTCGTTATTTCAATTTTCCTCCAAAACAAATCTCCCTTTAATTTGAAGTCTTAGATTAGTTAGAAAGTGTTTTGATTTGTGTTTCTAAGTATTTTGATTCAAGTTTTCATCCAATTTCGTCCAAATTAGTGTAGGTGCTCAAAACTGCCCAGAAAGTGGTTTTTAGGCAGTTTTGAGTCTTTTAGTTGCTGTTTTGGGTTTTAGGTTTGTTTAAGTGTTTTAACTTTTAGTTTTGCATTCTTTGAGTCTAGTTTAGTGTTAAAGTGTCTTAATTTGTGTTTTAAAGTGTTTTGAATCAACCTTTAATCTTAAATTCGTCCAAATTTGTGTTTAAGGTCAGAAACTGCCTAGTTAGTGTTTTTAGGCAGTTTTGAGTCTTTTGAATCTGTTTTGAGTCCTTTGAGTCTTTGTGAACGTTTTTAACTTTGTTTTTATGTTTTTGAGTCAATTTAGAGGTTTTAGCAAGCCCTTCTAATCCCTGGTCTAGAACAATCCCTACTTGCATCCTTACTACAATTTGACAACAAGAGGGTTAATTTGTGTGCGTATAATTCTCGCATCAAATTTTGGCGCCGTTGCCGGGGATTAGCAACTTTGCTAATCCCTTGGATTGTTTTATTTTCGTTTGTTTTTATTTTTCCAGATTCTTAATTTTGTTTTGTTTCTTGTTTTAGGTACTAGTTCATGACTCGTAGTTCTCATCCGATTCGTGAACATATCCTGGAGTGATTGGGTTCTTCGTCCGGCTGCAAGACGTAAAAGAAAGCGCTACTTGGGAGGCAACCCAATGCACTGAATAAAACAAAGCATGTTCATAAAAAATAAAAAAAATAAAAAAATAAAAAAGAAAAGAAAAGATACTAAACATGGAGAAAGATGGAGCCTTCACAAAGGATGTTTACGTGAAGCCCCACTACGAGGCGTCGGAGCAGAAGGCATTGGAGCGGAAGGCATCGGAGCGGGAGGCATCGGAGCTAGAGCATTCCAGGCCTCAATACTGGGTGGAACGCTAGATGACCCAGGAAAAAGGTGCCTCTGGAAGAAAGACGCAAGCCTTTAACGGTCACTTTGAACGCGACCTTGAGATTCTTGCAGCTCATTAAGCTTCCTCTTCATGCCCGACGAATAGTTATTTGCAAGCACATGCAAACTTCTATTCTCGTACTTAAGCTGTTTGATCTCCTGCTTAAGATTTTCCACCTCTGCCATCAATGATTCCACTTGACGGGACCGAGCAAGCAGGCGTTGGCCCATGTTGGACACAGAGCTCGCACACTGAACACTAAGTGCGAGGGATTCTTGAACGGCCAACTCATCGGACCGTCCTGAAAGCAGCTGACTATCTTTGGGAGTGAGGAGGTTCCTAGCTACTATTGTAGCTGTTGTGGCATCCTGCATCACGGAGTCTTCACCTGTAAGAGGACCGTTAGAAGATAAGAAAGAAGGGTGCCATACGTTACCTTGACGCGGCGCGCCCGTATCACTGCTGAGACTCAATTCTAAGCTAAGGTTCGATGGGTTTGCCATTTTTCAAAGGTGTTCAAGAGAAGGGGTGGATGGAGTTAAATTTCAAAGGGCCGGAGACAATTTTCAAAAATGGGCAGTCTTCAGAGTGTGTATGTTTGAGGTGATCGGTAGCTCTATAAAAAGCCAAGGCGACGCGTCCACCAATTCAAAAAGCCGGAATTTCCTGCGCAAAGTTCGGCGACGCTTTCTCTACTTTTCAGAAAACGTGTTCACTTTGTCAAAAGATCTCTGACAAAGTGAAAACACGTGGAGGCCATCATCGCAACTACACATCTTTAGCCGACAAACGCAAAGTTCGACGACGCTTTCTCTACTTTTCAGAAAACGCATGCAGCTTTGTCAAAAGAGCCGCATCCGCACTACTATGTGTCGTTCAGAAAACGAAGGGGCGTCGCTCAGAAATCGAAGGGGCGCCTGCTCAGAAATCGAAGAGGCGTCGTTCAGAAATCGAAGAGGCGTCACTATTTCAAAAAGCCGGATTTGCGGGATCAAAACGTTGTCGACAAGGGTAAAAGAACAATACCACCACTTGCTATTGGGAAATCCCTATATATGTCGACCTTCATCTTTTATGGCAAGGCAAACCTGAAGAAAATGCCCAACTCTTCCTCACTTTTGAGGGCGCACTCCCAGCAAAGCCTTTCGAAATACTCAATTCTTTCTTCTTCCCCAAAGATGATACCAGATGCCTGGAGTACAGATGACCCAGGAGGAAACAGCACAACAAATACATGTGCTGATTCATTCACCGCTTCTTCAAAAGCAAAGGTATCTCATATCATCAAGGTCAAAAGCAAAAGTATCTCATATCATGCTCTTTCCCTGTCTTTTCCTTTGTCTTTGTTATTACTCGCATAGCAAAGTAAAAGAAGCAATCAGCCGGCACTTGGAGTCAGTCTTCCGACGGCCGGGAATCCCTTTCCTGATTGCTTACCTAGCGTTGCTCTCGAGTAGTCATCTTCAACGGTTGATACACTTCCAGAGAAGGGACCACTTCTGCAAAGGGGAGCAAGTAAGGCAAGTGAAAATGACACATTGAAGCATGTGGAGACAAGCAACAACTGCATATGCTGAGCTATCCTCTAACCCTCTTCAATACGAATTGGAGAGATTGA